ACACCCAAAGGAAGATTTGAACAGTGGCTGCTGGAGAACAACGACGACGCCAAAGTACACTTTCAAATGTTAGTACAACGGAGAAGACGAAGAGTAGTAGTATCATAAAAAGACCCAACACCGAATTTAGAATAAACAAAAGCACTGCACTGTCGGGGACCAGCGGAGGCATTGGCACCATAATTATCCAGTCGACCGGCAGCACCGGCGTTGTTGTTCCAACATCATTTACCACTACAGCTGAGGTTGATGTTCCTATTATTACATCGACTGTGTCATTTCGTAATTGAGCCGACCACAGCGGCACACCATCATAAACGTCGGGCTCCACAGGTACTGGAAAGGTGAGTGTAGCATTGATCCTCAAGGCGAATTCACGCACAATTTTGGTCAAAAATCCACCAATTTGCACAATTCCCTGACCGTCGCGCCACACAATGGTCCATGGATCAAGTTGGTCGGGTGCAGTTCGGATGGCAGCACCTTTTATGTCCTTTATTCGATCCGGAAAACAATCCTCCACCAATGTTTTACGTTGGATGTTGAATTGTGGAAAATAACTAAAAGTATAGAAATGTCCATCCACTGCATAGTCCCTATAGATGCTCATTACGTTCAGTAAATGCATTTGGGCACAATATTCGAAAAGTAATTGTTGCTGGCCTTTTAGTTCCTGGCGCTGTTGTAACGACGCAGCGGTGTTGTATTCGGTGTTCCAAATGAAAAGTATGCGGACATGGCGATTATTTCCCAAGCAAGCGATCATCATCTCCAATAAATCGGCCTTGAAGATCGGAGGCAAACAGCGGATTAAAAGCATATCATCATTTGTTAGGCTAGACAAATTGCCGCAGGGACTGTTCGCTTGCTGTAAATTAACGGTGTTATTAGTGCTGAGCCAACGAATGTCATCATCGGAGAGACAACTCTGCTTTGTGGCGTGGGCATTTACGATTCGAAATGTGTTAATATTTCGTTCCAAGTCAATTTTATTGATAATTTTACTAATATACAGAGAAGTTTCGGCGTTTATGTTGAATTGTGGATAAGCAGTCGATAGTGGAATGCTGAAGAGTAGCAATGAAATGCCTATAGTCCACATATTACTGATTCGGAGAACCGCACTTTACGGAAATACTTGTTAGACTATTTAGAAAGACTTCAGTAGGCATCACTTATGCAACCATCGTAGGCATATGTAGAGCGTTAAAAGATTTTTATCATCTTCAAAATTAATACATACTTAAGTTGACAAATGAGGTATTTTCAATCAACTTAGAAATTTATTAGCGTAAAAGCGTCAATTGTTGGATTGCAGTGGCATAGATAGCTCCACGCCGGGTTGAATAAAAATCCCCTTTAATTTCCCTCTCCTCTAACTACGCTAATGATGCCACCATGTATTGAGTAATGAAGCCTTCATCAGGGTGTTTAAGAATTTTATTAAGTTCTCATCCATTCTCTTAAGGCGTTCCATTTGTCATGATTTGAGTGTCGTGCCTCATGTGGGCGTGTATTTCCTCATTTCCTGTTTTGGTTTCCTTTCCATTCTTTTTGTCAACGGCAATTAATTTGCAGGAGTTTACATTAAGGCCATTAGCAAATGCTATTTCTTAAAATTTCAGAACCGTTACTCAATTTGTTCAAATAAACTTAAGTGAAAGGTATGAAATAAAAAAAAAAGCAATTGCTTAGTTTCTATGCATACGGCGCAATATATTCGTTTAGTTTAGTATTAACCTCTTTACGGCCTTAATGATCTAGAAGGCTTAAATAAAGTTTGCATATGGTTTTCGGATATTATTTTATACATACATAAATGGAAAAAATAAAAAAAAGGCTTAATTGAAGAAATTATTTTATATTTTTATTAGTATTTGACTACAGAAAAATTCTCTACGATTACTATTTACGTCAACATGAAAAAAACTACGTTCAAAAGCATATTGGGAACCATTTTGCCTCTGCTTTTAAAGGGTTAAAGAGCGTTTCATATATGACAGACTCTGCATTAAAGGGATAAATGTTGCGCTTTCGTAAAGATATCGACCAGTATAACCGTTTTTGTTATATAAATTTGTTTGTGAAAGCTGATAGTTTACGAGTTATTAGAGTTTAAAGGAAGCTTTTTTGCCAATCTGGCCACTCGGGTACAGCATCCAATGTCCCAAAAATTGGGTCTTAAGATAAAACAAAGACAAATATTTCAGAGACAATGCTAATGGTGCATTAAATATAGTGTTTTCTTGTGGAATGGGAGCGAAAATTAAGAAAGCGACATTTTGAACGGTATTTTGAGGGTGAAGTTATTGTTATTGCAACTTCTCTAAAGTTTTCCTACATTATATGATCATTTATCTCAATTTAATTCCATTATCTATTTTCTAACCGAAGATCTACGATTTTGAAAAAAAGCTCGTCTTTTGTCCATAGTGCGCCGCCCTGCTGTCTAGATGCGCATGTTGATGTGTTTTTTAGTAGCTCTACTTTCGGCATACTCTCTCAGACATACATTCATATGTACTTATATGTATGTAATTGAATGGCATGCACCTTAGCCTGAAAGACGGAGTTAACTTGCCTAATCTAGTGAAAAAAGCCTTCTAGGTTTTGTTCCGTCCACCCCTGCTCACATCCACGGTTGCCATTTCCAATTTGTTTTTTTTTTCGGACCAAAAAATGGACCAAATGGTAAAAAATTTACCAATTTTTATTACATCGGGAAATTGAGTGGAGTTTATTCCTCTCTATCAAGAAAATATAATAATAAGTTTTTATAACGATTTTTTTTTTTTTATATTGCATCCAAAGTGCATTACAATTGTATAATATTAACGCTCAGCTGCTAGGGATCTGTGAGGCAGACTAAAAATGTTATGAACTAAATCACACAATTCTCCAAAGACCGCTTCACCCAATCCATTTTTAATCAAACTTACTCGATCTCGAAAACGTTCTTTATTGGTACAGTTTTTGAAGTTACCTTCACTCAGCCTCAATTTGCGAAATTCAGGAAATTGATCGAGTAGCGGCAAAATTGATACATACATCAGTATCAGAAAGAACTTTAATATGAAAGGGTGATAACAACTTAACCAAAGGCTTGTCCAATGTACCATTTTAAAAAGAATTGGACCAATGGACCAAACGAAAAGAAATGGGCCAAATTTGGTTCATTTGGACCAAAACGGCAACCGTGCTCACATCCGTGGTTAGTCTTAGAGCAATTAGTAACCAGATGAGGAAAGTAGAGTGAAGGCCTTTACCTTTTTCTGTACCCCTGCGAGTGGATGGGTGTACTAACTTCGTATCCTCTTCATTGTCTCCTAAGATGAGTCTTGCATTAATCAGTGGACCCTCTTTCTCAATTATGATGTGGGAAGAGGCAACCAGTTCTGAAAGTACTTTGAGAGCGTACGCAAGCAAGTTAATAAAGTTCCGCTAGATAGGAGCGCGGACCACAATGTGAAATATGAGCTTATTTTGTGACGAAATCTAATATCTTTAGAACTAGAACAGGTATCGTATGTAACGGTGTTTTAAAACTTTTAGGAGAACGTGCGATATTTTCCTGACTATTCGCGTGATTTTGGATATGAAAGACGTATCATAATTTGGTTAATGGGCAGTTCATCCCCACCCAACCTCTGCTATGGTACAAAGGCCTTCTTTCTCGCACAAAATTTTATCAAAATTATCAAATCACGATTACAGGTATTTAGGTATGCCCATTAAACATTTACTAGAACTAACCTTTTGCTATAGAGTAATTGCATACATATGTACATTTATGATTTGCCCCCAGCGTTGCCATTTTGGTATAATTGGACCAACATTGATAGCTTCATTTTCCTTTGGCAGTTTGGTTGGTTTTATGCAGCTTTTGGTAGGCAAAAGTTTTTTTTTGAAAATAAAACCAAATTGAGCATTAAAATTTGTTTGCTTACTTTGCGTTTATACGTCCAGAAAATTACTTTATTTAATACGCAATTTTTCGCAAACAAAAACTCACTTCCCAAAGCTATGACAGATCATCTTCTTATTTGCCATTGCTCCCATTTGACGTAAACTGTGCTTTTGACATTTTCTTTTCAATTAAAGCTACTTACCATATTCTTAGAAGAAATTAAAAAAAAGGTTTTATACTTAAAAAAAAAATTAAAATTTCATAAATTATTTAAAAATATATTTTGTTAGTGATATTAGTGATTTATTTCTATAATTAAATATAAAACGGAAGGCATATGTATAATGCACATATGTTTATGCAATTATTTTCACTATTATTTAGTAGGATTAACTGCATAACCGCGTAACTGACATTTGCTGCCAAAAATTGGATTTGCTCACAAGCAAGCTCTTGGCTCAATCCTTAGCAATTCGTCCTGAAATATACTAGCCAGAAGTGCGATTGCCTTATAAAAAAGAGAACCATTTTGAAATATGAGTGTTTCTACTCTCTGGAAAATAATTTATGCAACCTCACATATGCAATTTGGCATTTTGTTGATAAGCGGTTTTGTATTTTAAACGACGATTTGTATCTGGTTTTAATTAGCGAAATATAATTCACAGTTCTAAAATTTGTCCAAATTCGTATTCAGCTTTTAGACGTCCAAAATTCGAAATTTTTGTCCAGCTTGTAAATTATAAAAAATGTATGTTCGTTATCATAAATTTATGTTTTAGTACCCAAAATGTATATTCAATTCTTATGTTCATGTCCATTTGTGTTTTGTTTTAAATAAAAAAAAAAAAAAATCTATGTCCAGGTTTTACTTTCAAACGTTCAATTGCCAATCTCTCTGTATGAACGAAAAAACCGCTCCACTCTTATCATCCAAAAGTTTTTATTTTATTTGTATTTTATAGCAAAAAAAAATATTTCATTAAGTTAACAAGCGCAATTACACTTGACTTAAGTCGAAGGTATGTATGTATGCTCATATGTATGTATGTATGTAAATAAGAGTAGCAGATACGTACATATATTATTAAATGATTTGTTACAGTTTGTTTTATAAATTATATTGTTTTTTTCTTTATCGAGCGTCGTTAATTAACGAAAAAAGTTTTTGTTTTTTTTTTTGTCTAATTTTACAAATAAATAAAATCTCATTTCCGTTTGGGTTCAAGTTGCGGCGGTTTAGCTTTTGACGGTTTCGTGGTTTTGAGTTCTTTGTTACAATATTATATATATATATGTATATAGTTCAGTTACAGTTATAAAATTTCATATAACCAATAGCTTTTCCCAAATTACATTCATCGATGCTTTTTATGTCTCTCTCTCTCTTTTAAACGGTAATATGGGTTCGCTTTCGGCTCTTTGTAATCCATATTTTTATTTTATTTTGTTGTTGTTTTTCTCAAATTCGTTTCACGTCTAATTTAGACGATTGTCGTCATTGGATGATAATTCGTGATAATTTGCATTCCTTGTTGTAGTTGTTTCGTGATTTTGTTCCAGTGCAATGATTTATTCGCAGCATTAATGCAGCTAGATTTTCTTTTAAACCAGATTATAGAATTTTATCACGACTGTTTGGGATGTTGCGGTGGTGGTGGTGGCGCTGGTTTAAAGCATTGCAGTAGGAAGGCAGTGTATAGTAAGAAACCAACAGCCAATGCGATTAGCGCATACATAAATATATTCAGTTCTGGTTGGCGGAAACGATTCTTGCGCAACCATTCCAAAACCTCATCTTCAGAGAGAAGGTCACCTGCAAGGTACATACATAGTATGTAGATCAGAGACAATTAAATTTGATAAGGTGTTACTAATAGATTATGCGTAAATGTATGTACCTCTATAAATGCTGGGGAACCTTCGTCGGAAATAGACCATAGCTGGCAGTTTTGTAACGCCCCACTTCTTGGCATAGCGCGAATCGGCCATCTTCACAAATGTTATATCCAGATTATCCGTTTCACTGTCAATGTTTTCAAGTTTTTCCAATGCGGCTATGCTATCTTGCTGATTGTGTTCATCTAAACAAAAAAGTGAGGTTATAAAAAGGTTTGATCTCTATTTTGAATGTTCGGCAATGTTTAGTCACTCACAAAAGAACACCGTTATGAATTCATTTTCTTCGAGTAGTTTATCCAACATCTTACGATTGACTTCCTCAATTTCATTTTTAATTTCGAAAACATCCTGCGAAGTCAGCCATGTAATAACCTTGTCATGTTGGTGTAAGTCGCCATCGTACAATACAGGAACTTGCTTTCTGAAAGTGTTATAGACGAAAATTAATGTTACTAAGTGAATTGGAATTTTTTCGGAATTGTTTTAGAAGTACATTGGATATAATAGAGAACTAAAAAATGCTCTTAGCTAAGACTAACTATCTAAAAAAAGGCAATTTTTTAAGTACCCTATAGGCGCTTATACAAAAATCTTAAACAACCCCAAAAATGTGGAGGCCATCATAAAACAATTGACGATATGTTTAGGTTAAGCAGCTGGATATAGTGGAAAGGATAGTCCATCAGTGGATAGTGACATGAATGGGACACTCAAGACTACTTCCTTTCCAGCGCTTAATGCAGTGCTTAACGTGTTATCCGTATACAGTGCAATGAAAAAACATAGCTACAAGTTTGTTTCATATTACGAGCGCTATGCACATGGTTAGCTTTGGACCTTCTTGTCAGTCTCTAAGCTACTTTGAGGCTTATTGACTCCACCATGTATGTAATTAATTGATAGACTTTGAAGATCTTTGATATTCGCTGGTACTTCGAAGCTAAGGTCTTAAAAATATCTGAAATCATAGATATTAGAAGCCTCAAGGCTGAACTGAACTACAGCATTTGCTAGATTCCGTAGAGATGACTCATAACTATTTAATTGTACTCACCTAAAGTAGACCAGTGATGGTATATTCACAACATCGTATTTCTTAGCCGCTTCTACGCTAGCAATTTTTACAAAATCAATGCCAAACATATCAGCTTCGCCATCGATTTCTTCAAGTTCTTCAAGAATTTCTTCACACTCGGCGCAATCTTCATCATCTGTAAATATAAATTAAAGGTTATTATCATTTTTGTTGGCCACGTGCTATCGATACTCACAAAAGAACACCACCAATAATGTGGATTCGGCCATCAAACGTTCCAGCATGCGTTCATTTACTTCTTCAATTTCATCTGCCAATTCACGATTGTCATCATCAATAAGCCATTCCAAAACTGATTGCTCGTTTTGCAGATCGCCCTCGAAAAGTAAAGGATTGCCGTTTCTAAATATATGGAAGCACAAAATAAAAAAAAAATAAAATGACGAATACTAAAAAATATTGTTTTAAATATCACGCTCAAAAATATCGGAAAAAANGTAAATTAACGGTGTTATTAGTGCTGAGCCAACGAATGTCATCATCGGAGAGACAACTCTGCTTTGTGGCGTGGGCATTTACGATTCGAAATGTGTTAATATTTCGTTCCAAGTCAATTTTATTGATAATTTTACTAATATACAGAGAAGTTTCGGCGTTTATGTTGAATTGTGGATAAGCAGTCGATAGTGGAATGCTGAAGAGTAGCAATGAAATGCCTATAGTCCACATATTACTGATTCGGAGAACCGCACTTTACGGAAATACTTGTTAGACTATTTAGAAAGACTTCAGTAGGCATCACTTATGCAACCATCGTAGGCATATGTAGAGCGTTAAAAGATTTTTATCATCTTCAAAATTAATACATACTTAAGTTGACAAATGAGGTATTTTCAATCAACTTAGAAATTTATTAGCGTAAAAGCGTCAATTGTTGGATTGCAGTGGCATAGATAGCTCCACGCCGGGTTGAATAAAAATCCCCTTTAATTTCCCTCTCCTCTAACTACGCTAATGATGCCACCATGTATTGAGTAATGAAGCCTTCATCAGGGTGTTTAAGAATTTTATTAAGTTCTCATCCATTCTCTTAAGGCGTTCCATTTGTCATGATTTGAGTGTCGTGCCTCATGTGGGCGTGTATTTCCTCATTTCCTGTTTTGGTTTCCTTTCCATTCTTTTTGTCAACGGCAATTAATTTGCAGGAGTTTACATTAAGGCCATTAGCAAATGCTATTTCTTAAAATTTCAGAACCGTTACTCAATTTGTTCAAATAAACTTAAGTGAAAGGTATGAAATAAAAAAAAAAGCAATTGCTTAGTTTCTATGCATACGGCGCAATATATTCGTTTAGTTTAGTATTAACCTCTTTACGGCCTTAATGATCTAGAAGGCTTAAATAAAGTTTGCATATGGTTTTCGGATATTATTTTATACATACATAAATGGAAAAAATAAAAAAAAGGCTTAATTGAAGAAATTATTTTATATTTTTATTAGTATTTGACTACAGAAAAATTCTCTACGATTACTATTTACGTCAACATGAAAAAAACTACGTTCAAAAGCATATTGGGAACCATTTTGCCTCTGCTTTTAAAGGGTTAAAGAGCGTTTCATATATGACAGACTCTGCATTAAAGGGATAAATGTTGCGCTTTCGTAAAGATATCGACCAGTATAACCGTTTTTGTTATATAAATTTGTTTGTGAAAGCTGATAGTTTACGAGTTATTAGAGTTTAAAGGAAGCTTTTTTGCCAATCTGGCCACTCGGGTACAGCATCCAATGTCCCAAAAATTGGGTCTTAAGATAAAACAAAGACAAATATTTCAGAGACAATGCTAATGGTGCATTAAATATAGTGTTTTCTTGTGGAATGGGAGCGAAAATTAAGAAAGCGACATTTTGAACGGTATTTTGAGGGTGAAGTTATTGTTATTGCAACTTCTCTAAAGTTTTCCTACATTATATGATCATTTATCTCAATTTAATTCCATTATCTATTTTCTAACCGAAGATCTACGATTTTGAAAAAAAGCTCGTCTTTTGTCCATAGTGCGCCGCCCTGCTGTCTAGATGCGCATGTTGATGTGTTTTTTAGTAGCTCTACTTTCGGCATACTCTCTCAGACATACATTCATATGTACTTATATGTATGTAATTGAATGGCATGCACCTTAGCCTGAAAGACGGAGTTAACTTGCCTAATCTAGTGAAAAAAGCCTTCTAGGTTTTGTTCCGTCCACCCCTGCTCACATCCACGGTTGCCATTTCCAATTTGTTTTTTTTTTCGGACCAAAAAATGGACCAAATGGTAAAAAATTTACCAATTTTTATTACATCGGGAAATTGAGTGGAGTTTATTCCTCTCTATCAAGAAAATATAATAATAAGTTTTTATAACGATTTTTTTTTTTTTATATTGCATCCAAAGTGCATTACAATTGTATAATATTAACGCTCAGCTGCTAGGGATCTGTGAGGCAGACTAAAAATGTTATGAACTAAATCACACAATTCTCCAAAGACCGCTTCACCCAATCCATTTTTAATCAAACTTACTCGATCTCGAAAACGTTCTTTATTGGTACAGTTTTTGAAGTTACCTTCACTCAGCCTCAATTTGCGAAATTCAGGAAATTGATCGAGTAGCGGCAAAATTGATACATACATCAGTATCAGAAAGAACTTTAATATGAAAGGGTGATAACAACTTAACCAAAGGCTTGTCCAATGTACCATTTTAAAAAGAATTGGACCAATGGACCAAACGAAAAGAAATGGGCCAAATTTGGTTCATTTGGACCAAAACGGCAACCGTGCTCACATCCGTGGTTAGTCTTAGAGCAATTAGTAACCAGATGAGGAAAGTAGAGTGAAGGCCTTTACCTTTTTCTGTACCCCTGCGAGTGGATGGGTGTACTAACTTCGTATCCTCTTCATTGTCTCCTAAGATGAGTCTTGCATTAATCAGTGGACCCTCTTTCTCAATTATGATGTGGGAAGAGGCAACCAGTTCTGAAAGTACTTTGAGAGCGTACGCAAGCAAGTTAATAAAGTTCCGCTAGATAGGAGCGCGGACCACAATGTGAAATATGAGCTTATTTTGTGACGAAATCTAATATCTTTAGAACTAGAACAGGTATCGTATGTAACGGTGTTTTAAAACTTTTAGGAGAACGTGCGATATTTTCCTGACTATTCGCGTGATTTTGGATATGAAAGACGTATCATAATTTGGTTAATGGGCAGTTCATCCCCACCCAACCTCTGCTATGGTACAAAGGCCTTCTTTCTCGCACAAAATTTTATCAAAATTATCAAATCACGATTACAGGTATTTAGGTATGCCCATTAAACATTTACTAGAACTAACCTTTTGCTATAGAGTAATTGCATACATATGTACATTTATGATTTGCCCCCAGCGTTGCCATTTTGGTATAATTGGACCAACATTGATAGCTTCATTTTCCTTTGGCAGTTTGGTTGGTTTTATGCAGCTTTTGGTAGGCAAAAGTTTTTTTTTGAAAATAAAACCAAATTGAGCATTAAAATTTGTTTGCTTACTTTGCGTTTATACGTCCAGAAAATTACTTTATTTAATACGCAATTTTTCGCAAACAAAAACTCACTTCCCAAAGCTATGACAGATCATCTTCTTATTTGCCATTGCTCCCATTTGACGTAAACTGTGCTTTTGACATTTTCTTTTCAATTAAAGCTACTTACCATATTCTTAGAAGAAATTAAAAAAAAGGTTTTATACTTAAAAAAAAAATTAAAATTTCATAAATTATTTAAAAATATATTTTGTTAGTGATATTAGTGATTTATTTCTATAATTAAATATAAAACGGAAGGCATATGTATAATGCACATATGTTTATGCAATTATTTTCACTATTATTTAGTAGGATTAACTGCATAACCGCGTAACTGACATTTGCTGCCAAAAATTGGATTTGCTCACAAGCAAGCTCTTGGCTCAATCCTTAGCAATTCGTCCTGAAATATACTAGCCAGAAGTGCGATTGCCTTATAAAAAAGAGAACCATTTTGAAATATGAGTGTTTCTACTCTCTGGAAAATAATTTATGCAACCTCACATATGCAATTTGGCATTTTGTTGATAAGCGGTTTTGTATTTTAAACGACGATTTGTATCTGGTTTTAATTAGCGAAATATAATTCACAGTTCTAAAATTTGTCCAAATTCGTATTCAGCTTTTAGACGTCCAAAATTCGAAATTTTTGTCCAGCTTGTAAATTATAAAAAATGTATGTTCGTTATCATAAATTTATGTTTTAGTACCCAAAATGTATATTCAATTCTTATGTTCATGTCCATTTGTGTTTTGTTTTAAATAAAAAAAAAAAAAAATCTATGTCCAGGTTTTACTTTCAAACGTTCAATTGCCAATCTCTCTGTATGAACGAAAAAACCGCTCCACTCTTATCATCCAAAAGTTTTTATTTTATTTGTATTTTATAGCAAAAAAAAATATTTCATTAAGTTAACAAGCGCAATTACACTTGACTTAAGTCGAAGGTATGTATGTATGCTCATATGTATGTATGTATGTAAATAAGAGTAGCAGATACGTACATATATTATTAAATGATTTGTTACAGTTTGTTTTATAAATTATATTGTTTTTTTCTTTATCGAGCGTCGTTAATTAACGAAAAAAGTTTTTGTTTTTTTTTTTGTCTAATTTTACAAATAAATAAAATCTCATTTCCGTTTGGGTTCAAGTTGCGGCGGTTTAGCTTTTGACGGTTTCGTGGTTTTGAGTTCTTTGTTACAATATTATATATATATATGTATATAGTTCAGTTACAGTTATAAAATTTCATATAACCAATAGCTTTTCCCAAATTACATTCATCGATGCTTTTTATGTCTCTCTCTCTCTTTTAAACGGTAATATGGGTTCGCTTTCGGCTCTTTGTAATCCATATTTTTATTTTATTTTGTTGTTGTTTTTCTCAAATTCGTTTCACGTCTAATTTAGACGATTGTCGTCATTGGATGATAATTCGTGATAATTTGCATTCCTTGTTGTAGTTGTTTCGTGATTTTGTTCCAGTGCAATGATTTATTCGCAGCATTAATGCAGCTAGATTTTCTTTTAAACCAGATTATAGAATTTTATCACGACTGTTTGGGATGTTGCGGTGGTGGTGGTGGCGCTGGTTTAAAGCATTGCAGTAGGAAGGCAGTGTATAGTAAGAAACCAACAGCCAATGCGATTAGCGCATACATAAATATATTCAGTTCTGGTTGGCGGAAACGATTCTTGCGCAACCATTCCAAAACCTCATCTTCAGAGAGAAGGTCACCTGCAAGGTACATACATAGTATGTAGATCAGAGACAATTAAATTTGATAAGGTGTTACTAATAGATTATGCGTAAATGTATGTACCTCTATAAATGCTGGGGAACCTTCGTCGGAAATAGACCATAGCTGGCAGTTTTGTAACGCCCCACTTCTTGGCATAGCGCGAATCGGCCATCTTCACAAATGTTATATCCAGATTATCCGTTTCACTGTCAATGTTTTCAAGTTTTTCCAATGCGGCTATGCTATCTTGCTGATTGTGTTCATCTAAACAAAAAAGTGAGGTTATAAAAAGGTTTGATCTCTATTTTGAATGTTCGGCAATGTTTAGTCACTCACAAAAGAACACCGTTATGAATTCATTTTCTTCGAGTAGTTTATCCAACATCTTACGATTGACTTCCTCAATTTCATTTTTAATTTCGAAAACATCCTGCGAAGTCAGCCATGTAATAACCTTGTCATGTTGGTGTAAGTCGCCATCGTACAATACAGGAACTTGCTTTCTGAAAGTGTTATAGACGAAAATTAATGTTACTAAGTGAATTGGAATTTTTTCGGAATTGTTTTAGAAGTACATTGGATATAATAGAGAACTAAAAAATGCTCTTAGCTAAGACTAACTATCTAAAAAAAGGCAATTTTTTAAGTACCCTATAGGCGCTTATACAAAAATCTTAAACAACCCCAAAAATGTGGAGGCCATCATAAAACAATTGACGATATGTTTAGGTTAAGCAGCTGGATATAGTGGAAAGGATAGTCCATCAGTGGATAGTGACATGAATGGGACACTCAAGACTACTTCCTTTCCAGCGCTTAATGCAGTGCTTAACGTGTTATCCGTATACAGTGCAATGAAAAAACATAGCTACAAGTTTGTTTCATATTACGAGCGCTATGCACATGGTTAGCTTTGGACCTTCTTGTCAGTCTCTAAGCTACTTTGAGGCTTATTGACTCCACCATGTATGTAATTAATTGATAGACTTTGAAGATCTTTGATATTCGCTGGTACTTCGAAGCTAAGGTCTTAAAAATATCTGAAATCATAGATATTAGAAGCCTCAAGGCTGAACTGAACTACAGCATTTGCTAGATTCCGTAGAGATGACTCATAACTATTTAATTGTACTCACCTAAAGTAGACCAGTGATGGTATATTCACAACATCGTATTTCTTAGCCGCTTCTACGCTAGCAATTTTTACAAAATCAATGCCAAACATATCAGCTTCGCCATCGATTTCTTCAAGTTCTTCAAGAATTTCTTCACACTCGGCGCAATCTTCATCATCTGTAAATATAAATTAAAGGTTATTATCATTTTTGTTGGCCACGTGCTATCGATACTCACAAAAGAACACCACCAATAATGTGGATTCGGCCATCAAACGTTCCAGCATGCGTTCATTTACTTCTTCAATTTCATCTGCCAATTCACGATTGTCATCATCAATAAGCCATTCCAAAACTGATTGCTCGTTTTGCAGATCGCCCTCGAAAAGTAAAGGATTGCCGTTTCTAAATATATGGAAGCACAAAATAAAAAAAAAATAAAATGACGAATACTAAAAAATATTGTTTTAAATATCACGCTCAAAAATATCGGAAAAAAGTCAGAAAAGAGCATATTTCCCTTCTTAGAAGAGCACGCCAATACGAGTCCAGATTAGGAGTCATATTAGAGTCTGAAATATGATGGTCGTACGTGAACTTTGATACTTTTGTATCGAAATAGTCCGAAAGGTCTGATTGACTGGTCTCAGAATCATATATATGACGAAAGAATGATGCGTAAATTCTGATCACTCAGGAAATTGTGTGAAGAATTAATCTTGTCTTCATATGCCTACAGAAAAATTTAAGCACCAATTTTTTGGTGCAATATTATATCCCCTTACATTCTCTCTTTATGGGGTTGCCACTGACGAAAAAAAATAATTACCATCCACTTTTGAAAAATTTACCAAATCTAGAAAATATCTACCAATAACTTGTTTTAGCTATTTAAAAAAAAAAAACTATTGTTTTGTTCTATTTTTTAGTTATTTCCATAAAAATTAAAATTGTTTTTAAATAACTTTTTGTTTAACTAATGATATGGTATTTGAGATCACATATTCATAACGTTTTTCGAGTAAAAAAAAGTTTTTTTGTATTTTTTTATTTTTATTTAAAAAAAAAAACAATAAAATAAACGATACAACATTCAGCAAAATTCAATACTCTGAATTTTTAGAACAATTTAAGATATGGAGTTTTATTGCCCATGGAATTTTAGTATTTTTTTATAATTTTTTTGCCGCTGTTTTTTGAGTTTTGTTTTTCATTGAACAATTTTCATTGATAAAAATGGCGTTGACTTTTTTTCGCCAGCAATCATAGTACGTATTTGTTTAGGGAATCATTTAATATATTTAGACAATTAAAGGCTGCCCAGGATATCAATAAATGGATTTTAAATGGAGCACGATATGTTCGCCTTTAATCGATATACACTTATATGTATGTATGCATATAACAAGTGTGTATTAAAGCGTTCAAAAATTAAATTTATAATATAAAGATAGCTACGAAAAACAAAGCTGGAACGAAATTTTGTATTATTTTTTTCCTACAAAAATCTACTAAAATGAGAATAAATTTACCTTTTTACCAACCCTAATTTGTTCTCCGAATTTCGGTATCAATTTACCTAAGTGGCAACCCTGGTTATGGCTCTTTTTCAACCCTTAGCTATTTTTTAATCAATAAATCAGTAAACAAATTAGTGTTCCAATTGCCCGAGCCATGGCTAATTCCCGACCCCGAATCCAAAAAAAAAAAAAAACAAAATTGTAATTTCTGGTGACGAATTAATTGGGTTATATTGTAAATTTCTGTTATTTACTTTACCGGAAATACACAAGTGCTGGGAATGTCTTGATCGAATAACGTTTCGCCAATTGTGGATCCTGTATTTTAACCATATGAATGCCAAAGACATCACATTCATCATCGATCAGTTCCAGGCCCTCAAGAATTTGGTCACAAATGTTACAGTTGATTTTGTCTAAATAGAGAAAACATAAATACATACAGATTGTTAGAAGAATAAATTGAAAAGTTCAATGTCTCTGGAAGTAGGTAAAAAATACATATGTACATAAATCTGTTGCATTTTAATAAAACAACTTAAGTGACTTTAGAAAGTTTGGCTTTGGATTAAAAAAGAAAGAGTTTCCCTTCAAAAATTTTATATTTACATATATATAAGCTCCTATTAGTTAATCGTTGAAATATTATTTGGTAACCCAAATAAAAAGAAAATGGCCTAACTCGAGTCAAGTTGCTTTATCAAAATGCCACAGAAATATTTCCGCTAGTCTGCGTATAACTACATGTTTTTTTTACAAATAATTTACTTAAGATTAGTGAATAATTAGATATTGATCAAATTTTCTTGTTAGTAATTTATGCATTTCAATACTTCAGCAATGTAAATTGGAAACTCAATATTCGTTATTTGATTAAACAATATTATTGATTATTCGGTGACGACTGTTTCATTTCATTTTCAGCTATTTATTAAAAATAATTATTAGTTTCGACCATTACTTCCATTAGTTATTTTTAGTAATAGTCAGAAAGCATAAAAAGTTAGCAATTTGAGTTACAAGAATGTGAAAGAAAAAGAAAACGCCAAAAATTAAGGTATTCATTTCCAAACTAAATATAAGAAATGGAGGGTAAACCACTGACATTTAATTTTAATTGTACCCGTCTAAAAAGCTTGGAGCTAAAGTTTTCACTATGTTAGGCTACTTCGGAGTCACATACATAAATATTTCAAACCAATGAATATTTTTGGCCCTTTTTAAAGTTCTCCAAAAGTTTTTAAGACGTCCAACTAATGCAAATGAACACCAGATAATTATTAGGGTATACATCCGTCGATTCAAACTCTGACGCCGTCAAATCATATGCATTAATCAAAAAGATAAAAAATACTAGTAAATTGTAGAGGAAGATCTTCTCTACATAATTTATGTAAGAAGTACTATGTCATGATTAATCATCTTTATTTGATCCGACATTTTCAATTTTTGAGATGTCAAATTTCATACAAATCTGATAATTAAAAAAAAAAAACATCCATCCGCCATTGTTAGGAACTGACTGCAGATTTGTAATCACCGACCTCAAAAACTCTTCGATACGAAGTCTAATAAAGTTGAAAAAATCACAAGGTAATATTCTTTTGACCAATTCAGCAAAGGGGTTGTTAAGGGTGGTTTTTCCCCTTAAAAACAGTAAATGACTTGATGTAGAAAAACGGCGAAGTACGGGTGGTTTGGTTATGTCTCTAATTTCTGAAAATGCTTTATTTTTTTCATGGGTGAAAAATCGTGTCGGACGATATTTATTGATATTACGGATTTCGGATTCTCAAAAGTTCCAGCTTAAATATATGGGCTTCACAATAATAATTATCTTGAGTGAATCTGCAACCGGATCTATGTAAATACACAATAATCATCCGACGAACTGTAGGCCAATTGACTTTCTATCAGATGTAAACGACTGGAGACATATTCTTATATAAATCAGTTAAAAACGACTAACCGCACTTATTTGATGACAAATGCCATTTATTTTGACCTAGGGAAAACCAGCCTTTATGCTAGCCGACGTTTGGTAACAAAATATCTGTGTACCCGTGGCAATATTGGGTGAAAAAGTAAGAAACCGTGTTATTGAAAAAAAAAAAAAATATTAAAGTTAACTTCGAAGCTAGCACCGCTGCATTATGCCATTTTGTTTCACCAATTTAAGAGTATCTATGCGATTACCGGCCAGAGATTAATGCGATGTAGGTCTTTCCGTAGCAGGTGATGGTATATTAATCTGCATTGATGATACACGGATGGAGAAAAGAACCAGAGGCAGTCTGTACTCAGAGATTTTCAGCTGAATGCCACGTTTCCAACCAGAAATCCACTACCTCTGCCAATAGCTAAGGGTTTCGAAACCAATATAAAACATTGGAGTGAAATGGGGGATTGTACGGAAATGCCGGGACCCTCGTTTCTTTCGATATTGCTATGACAGGGACTCCAGCAAAGAGTCAAGTTAATATGACACAGTGTTGACAACGCGACACGATATTTCCTGTAATCGCCTATACAACCGGACAGGAATAAAAAGTATGATGAAAATTGATGAATTTACCGTAGCCTTTGCGAATAAGTCAATGTCACGCTTCTTCACGAGTCTGGCGTAGATATAAGAGAGGATTCACCTTAAATTTTATTTGAGATGGAAAGTGCCTCAGCCGGTCAATGCCATGATTATTCTTCATTTTCTTTTTGTAAAATACTTTTTCTCCACAGAGAGTAATAATAATTGGCAACTACATATGTGCTTGGGCCTGAGTATGGTACTCTCCATACAAGCTCTTCTTATCTAATCTAACCTAACCGTTTCGCTGATTATCTAATCGACCAATCGAATTCGTTCTCTCATGCGTCGGATTAGTTTGTCCCCTGTGATAGAATATTGGATGTGTCTTGGAGATCGACGAGACAACAGACTGCATTTCGAACGAATGTTCAGAGTACGATCTTTTAAGCATTTATTTATCAAGTATAAATGGTTAGGGCCTCTTCTTCGAAACGCAAAAGATCGTTGCGTTCCTAGATTGTGTTATACTCAAATTCTCAACTAAATAACTTCGCAATACAAGCTAGGGGTGAACTATTTTGCTTTCTTTTAGATATTTGTACTAAATTACAAACTAATTTTAGGTTACCCAATTGTTGTTTAGTAGGGTGAGAAGTAAAAATTTAGATTTCGGGGGTAAATAGAAGTACTTTTTCGAGAGCCGTTTCATTTTTAAGTCTAATTCCGGCTTCATTTGTCGTCCTGAGGGCAGCAGTATTGACGGAATTTTTTTCTTAATGCAATAACTATTCGGTTTTGGATTGCAGAACATAAAAATGTTTGAGATTACTTCCTTTCTGATATTTAGTTTGGAAAAATACTGTATGGAAAATTTGTCGGCTTAGTTACAGCAAGAGAGGCAATATCGACTCTCAAAACATCGGCCCGCGTGTGCAATTCATAAAAAGCCGATTATATAATTTTTTTTTATTATTTACTCGTATCGAAACAAAACTAACGAGTAGCAGCTAATTAGTTTCGCAAATGCAATAAGTAGCAACATCTTTAAAACAATACAGGGTGCAAGTCAGTTAAGTTTTGCATATGTATATATTTTTCGTTTGAATTCGTTCTTTAGTACGTGATAGCTATGCGTGAGTTTATGTACGTTTATTAATTGATTATGTACAAGTATTGTAGGTTATGTTGATTTTTTTTTTTTTGAATACCTTGATTTTGGATACGTTTTCTTTTGCGTGAAATGTAATTCTTTATGAATTGCTGGGATGCGTGTTTCGTGTTGTTGTTCATGCTTCCATTTAAAGAGGCGGGTGAACAAAAAATGCGGCAGTAAGCAGGTTGTTTTCCATTGCGATCGGAAGGTACTGGGGATTTTTGTTTTTGGTTTTTGTTTTTTTTTTTTTTGGTATTTGTGGTACATTTATGGTGGATTGGATTGTGTAGTCGTTTATTTGATTTATATATTTATTTATTGTTTTTCATTTCATTTGTATGAATGCAAATTATTGGATTGGCAGTGTTGTTGGTGTGGGATAGTTTGGTAGTTCATGATCAACAAAAATATACAATATATCGATGGCTGAGTGGAAGATCGACCTATCTCGGCAACCAGTTCGAAAACGCTCTATCTCAAAAAACTTTTCAAGAACGCCCTATTTCAGAATTTAATTGAAAAACACCCTATCTCAAACTTCGGTTCAAAAACGCCCTAACTCACTTCAAAATGTATAGAAAATATGCTGATATAGGGTGTTTTTGAATCGGCAGCTGAGATAGGGCTTTTTTGAAACGATTTCTGAAATAGGGCGTTCTTGAAAAGTTTTTTGAGATAAAATGTTTTCGAACTGGCTGCCGAGATAGGTCGATCTTCCACTCAGCCATCGATATGTAAAGTAAAATTATTAGAATCCCATAAACAAACAAAAATATAATAAAAAAGAAAACAACAATTTTTTGAGCACAAAGATTTTACTAGCTATTTCATAAAGACTTACAGAAGTAAACAGCCAAATATTGTGTTTCCTCAACCATGGTTTCCAGCATCTGACGAGTGATTAACTCAATACGATCCTCAGTCTTTTGCGTGATCAGCCATTGTAAGACTTCCTCCTCTTCGTTCAATTCACCTAAGGAAGTTAAATATTTACAAAATATATATATTAAAATTGCCTCCCGATAAGTTCTTTAGCCGTTGATCTACACACAATAACGTTTCTATGTTTTAAGCTCGATAGTTACGAACAGGTGCGGGTGATTTGTTGTATAGTATTTAGGAACGAAAACTCTTGTTGTATGGTAGTTATAATGTTTTTGTTGTTGTAGAAAACCCTTTCTACATATAGAAAATAGATCAGTAACTCTGCCTGGATCAATGAACCCATTCTTATTTTACATCAAGTTCATCTAATGATGGGCTAAGGAAAAAAGTTGTTTCCATGGGTTTGACCAAAGCAAGAAGGAGTTTCTTTGAATGGGCATGTGAAGGGGTGTATAGCATTGTGCAGGGGTTCTTCGCATATTGAACATACGTCGGATATGTTGAGTGCGATTTTGATTTATTAAGAGCTTAATCTATTATAGTATCCAAAAAGCAGTTGAGCAAGAGCAATCATACGTCTCCCGAGGTAACCCAAGATCTTTGTCCACGACAGGTGGTTGTCTTTATTGTACCACAGTTACGTAGACGCGACTATTGTCGGAACGATAGGTGGTCTGTTTAATTTGTTGATGGTATTCACAGGACTAAGAATAAACATGAATATTTTGAAGGCCCATAAGAAAGAAATTTGCTATCGCGGATAAGGTAAACGTTGATAATACTGGTCACTAAGATCCATGCGAAGGCGTCTGATATGTGACTTAGCTTCAAGCAAGTGTTTGCTGGGGTCATTCAGAAACCCTTGCGAAACAGCTCCTTCGGCATTATAATACATTATTAACTGGGAGTACGAAGGTCTCATTGGTATACAGACGGAATTTGAAATTCTTAAGTGTTACGATAGACTTCGGCGGTGGCTCAGAACAACTTCAGACAGGTCGGTATGAATGTTTATTGTTTTCTACAATGTTCGCCTTTGGCCTAAGAGCTGGCCGTCAACGATTTAAGGCCCTTGTAGTGGCTCTGTATTGAGCTTTAACTCTGAGAATGTAAATGGGGTGATATATGGAGCCCATATGTAATGACGCAGCTCGTAAGGTCTGATAGAAACATTCTGCATCAATGTCAATTCTTGGCACTAAGATCAACGTCAACGTCGAATGTGATCAAGGAAACACCCCCTGGAACTGCAATAAATAGAAATTAAAAATTAGGGAGCAGAGGATACTACCCTTCAACTCCCTTTCTTGTACTACTTGTCTTTGAGGTTTGATGCGAAAATGTAACCGATGAGCAGTGTTGCCAGGTCTTCGGCATGAGAAAACGTCCCTCTTGGTCTGAAAAAACGTCATTTCCTACCCAAAAACGTCTTTTTCAAATGATTGTATGTTCTTATTTAAACTTTTATTGTATAAGTAACGTAAACGCATTTTTACTTGTTTTACTTTTTATTTTCTTGACACAAGTCAAGGCAACCAAATCGGTTTGATGAGTTACTACGACTAATTACAATTTGTCGGTGACTGCACCTAAATGCCTGCCTCTACTTCCCTAATCGCCAGCACTGCTGCCCGTGAAAATGTTGACTTGGCATTTGCCATTTACTGGTATGCTCGCCTTTCATTCATGCAATTCTTAGAGTCGAGTTTCACATTGCTGTGAGAACGACTTCAGCTGGGTGTTCACTTGCTGATTCAGCGTCTGGCTTATCTAGTGCTGTTGTTATGGTAAGCTTTGGTTATGATTGTTGTTGTTGGAATTATTGCTGGGTGCTAACTGCTCTGGAATTATTGTTGGGTGCTAACTTATACAAAGGTACATGTCGAGCCCTAACCGCCAAAATGACTTAAGCGACACTTTTTTAAAAATTTTCTTTTTGATGCAGAAATATTCCTATAAAATAAAATAATGTAAAATTTTGAAAAAATGTCGCTTACGTTATTTTGGCGGTTAGGGCTCGATATGTACGTAAGCATTAGCGCACACAAGGGGTGGGTTTTGGGGTTCAAACCCCCCCTAAAGCTAATAACCTCAAATACAAACTGTATCTTAAAGCTAAGAATCCAGCTCTCAACGAAATTACAAGAAATATTTATTATAATTTCTGTTCCTTAAAAAGGCGCTTTGCTTTTGCTGTAAATTTTCATGAGGAAATAAATATACGAGCATTTTTTTCTTGAGAGCTGCAAACTGATTTATGAAAATTTGGTAGAAGAAAATTTCTTTTCCATTTCTCGTCCGTCGTTTTATATGAATTTTTCGTTTTTCTTGAGAGTTCAGTTAATTTTTTCGGAACTCGAAATATTAAAAAAATNATGAGATCGTTAATATAACAATCATTTTATACATACACTTGTGATCAGCTGATTAAGTCATCAACATTTTGATCGATTTTGGCTGTTTCTCTTTCGTTTATTTAATGTTTATTATTTTTCCATAAAAGCCAAGCTCATTAACAAACAAAATATAAATCCACAAAAACTGTGCAAAAATTATAAACAATCTGCAAATTTTCAGCTAGATATTCAACTTTCTATTCTGATTTTTTAGCCCATTAAATTTCAGGGCAATAATGTGCAAGTTTAAAGGGGCTAAATAATCGCGTCGATTTTTAATTTTTTTTTTCTTGTACAAATTTGGTTAGGGGCTTGATTGTCGAAAATGCTAAATTACGTTCTGCTAAGAAGGAGCATCGCAATAGGTCCATTCAATATCAAAAAATTGTTACGAATTGTTACTAGTACTTGCAAGTTTTTATTGGAAATGCATTCAATAGCCCAAAATATTTGCAAGAGAGAGCGAAGCTAGCTAGCAGGAATTTGCAGGAGTCCAAAAGTAAGGTTATGTTTCAAATTCAAATGTGAGCAAACTGTTTAAGAGGATGATTTGATGAAACATAATTAGTGAAATGAAAATATGGATAAAAAATTTAAATCTATTGTATATTTTTTTACTTTTATGACGATGGGAACTATTCCCAATTAAAAAGAAAATTGCGCGCCAACACTAAACCGTCAGAAAGTGTCAAAATGGCTTAAGTTGCAAGTTTTTACTAGTTTTGCGTTCAATAACTTTTTCTGAAAATCTTCTCTTGCTCTCAATTTTACTCTCTATTTTTCTTTTACGCTCTCGCTGCAAGTACTTAGTGGAAAAGTTATTGAATGGACCTAATATTTAATTTTTTTTTTGCATTCAGTACATTTTCAATGAAGTCTTAAAAAAGTCGCCTACTTTTTTCTGACGTTTTATGCTGCACAGCTTTTTTGATGCTTTTGCGTACGTGCCTGCTACAATAGATCGGCTCTACCTGATTTGGCTTTTAATGTGCAATTGCATCATTACAGCAAGCCTCGTAACCTCAAGTGTTTACACAACCAGCCTTTGAACAAGTGATCCTTAGTCCAAGAATCCAAAAAAAAAAAACCTTTAGAGGAAGCAGCTGCAGCAAAACACAAAGATTGTAAAGATTTATTAAGAAAATAATTCAAAATCAGTTCTACTTATAAGATTTAGTAACAAAGAAAAATTACTTGAAAGTTAAAAAACGTCATTTCTTACACAAAAAACGTCCAAACGTCAACAGGGTACAAAAAACGTCCAAATGACGTTAAAAACGTCAACCTGGCAACGCTGCCGATGAGTGCCAAACACACAGATAATTCGCAGACCACCGCTCTAGTCCAATTATTGTCGGTGTCTTCAAGTAGAGCTAGATGATTGTATACCCTATAAACGGTCCACATTTAAGATATTGTTAAGAAAGTGGAAACTACTGTCCATGGAATAAAAAAATTATCGATAAAGGGGGAGCTGCTTTGAGCACCCCTGGGGGAATCGATAACTTTGCTTTTTGAGAGGAGATCAACATTCCCATCTTCTCAAAGATTGAGCACTACGTTTAGTTTTTGAAGAATACCGATAGCCGGACGCTTGCGAACACAAAAAAGCTGCTTTTAGTTAAAAGACTCTGTCAAAAAGCATGACTGCGATACATTAGAACTCTCAAAATACATTCAAAATCCAAACGAATTTTGTAGAGAGGGTGATACATTATCAAACATTTATTTACGATGTTCGATCTGTCATTTTGAAATCTTAAAATTCATGATCGTGAATCTAATAATTTTTGAAAAACTAGCCTTTGTCAAAAACGTCACCCATCACTTAAAAGCATGATGAATCATGTTTAAAAGTAAACACTTTTACCAAATTTTCGACAATATTACCGATTTTTTTACCTGAATCAATTTCGGAGAGACTGGGTCTTCAGTTGACGAAGAATGCCTCATATACATATGTACATGTATGTAAGTGAAATTCTATTATGTACCTTCAAAAACATTCGGAATACCGCCTTCGAAATAGACGAGCGCTGGATACTCATGTACGCCATAACCATCGGCAACCGAAAAATCACGAGTCTTTACGAACGTTATGCCATGCTTATCACAATCGTCGTCAATGTTCTCCAGTTCTTCCAGCACTTTGGTGCACTGCTCACAACCGTCGGCATCTAATATAAAGAAGAGATGTGTGTGAATAAATACGAAAAATATTGGAATCCAAAAGTGTGCATGCAAACAAGTTAAAAAAGCGGATAGTAGGTCGGTCACTGAAATGTTAGAAAAAGCAAGAAAGTTAACACAAAGAACTACTGGTTTCAAACAAAGGTAAAAAAGATCAGTTTCTACAAGAAGAGTTTTTTTCTTTTTTTTGTGGTGCGAAAAATCTCCATCAAAAATATACTTTGGAGATAATCAATTGGGCGATCAATTTGCGCTGTATGAAGCGTTGAAGTGAAAAGAAATAATATATACCAGAAAAATTTCAAATTTCTTAGGCACACAGCTTTAGAAAAAATATTCTACTACATGCGAAACTTTTTCACAGGTTTAGTCAAAGTTTCGAGACTCTCGTGACTGTTACAATTTTAAGTGAATATCCACTTCAGCACTTCATAGAACTCAAGTTCGCAATTAAGTGGAGACACAAATTTTTTCTTTGGTTGTAGGCGGAAAATGTTGGAAATGCTGTCGGTTGTAGGGCATCTGTGGTGTACTGCTGTTGGTTTTTTGGTTCTTTTTTTTTGTTGCTTTTTAGGGTGGCATATGTATATGTACGGTGACCATCTGTCCTCTATTATACGGGACAGTCCTCTTTTTTAACCCATTGTCCTGGTAATTTATTTATTTTATACGGGACGCCAAATGTTCTGTATTTCTTTTAATGTCTTGTGTTTGTCCCGTATTCGGTGTTTCGACGCCTTAACAGCTCATTAAAATGACATGTCTATGAACGAGTTTTAAGTGATGTTGGTAAATATATGATACTAATTTTCTCCTGTGATTCTAATCGAGGAATACATACAGTGACTAAAATAGAAATTATGACTCGACATTTTAGTAAGTTTTGACTATTTTTAGTTAGTTTATTTAATGTTTATTATTTATTAACCGACTTACCAAAAAGGAGGAGGTTATCAGTTCGTCGCTCCAATTTTCGAAATCGGTTCTGGACCACACAAAAAAAAGTATTCCGACGAACTGATAACCTCCTCCTTTTTCGGAAGTCGGTTAAAAATGGTCGAACATACTTATTTTGTATGAAAAAAATGCGTAACACCATCAACAAAAAAAAAAATTGTCAAAAATTGTTGGTATGCCTTAGCAAATAAAAATTGCACTTCATTATACTAAAATTTAATGAATTTTTTTAGCAACTTTTACGGGGTAAAAATCTCGAGAAAATTATCCTATAAATTCGTTATGTTACTATAAGGATACTGTTTACTAATACATCAAGGATCTTTGAAGAAGGCCTTAAGATCTGTAAGCTGTTTTGGAACAAATTTGCAAAATTTTTTTTTGTCCCGTATTCGGCTCTCATAAATATGCTCACCGTACATATATGTATGTCCAAACTTTAAGTAGTAGGTTTGTGAATTCAAAACTTAAATCTATAAAACCGTTTAACTCATTTACAAAAATCAAGGGTATATAATCAAAAACGATATTTTTTTTTTGAACAAAGTTGAGGGTTTATGGGGTGGGTCTAACTCTATCTTTGCTATGCTACTCTTTGTCACTACCATCGTCGTGTTTACCGCCAGCTGAGAAGGATGTTTTTGTGGACTCAGTTGCCGCCGCCGCAGCCGCTTCTGCTTCGGCCACAGCAGCTTCTCCTTCAGCGCCAAATGATGCCGCTGCTCCGGCACCGCCGTCCTGTTGCTGCGCTTCGCGCTCCTTCTTCAGACGTGCCTTGCGCGCTGCCTTCGAAGTACAAATGTCGCACTGTGTCTTATTCCCTATGTGCAGTGAAGGTTTGATATTTTTTCGTTTGTTTTTTTTTTTTTTTTATTCGTGGACACAAACAATTAATTTTTTTTATTTTTTTGTTTTGGTTGGAAGAGGTTGTTTTTGTGCAGAATTGAAGGTGTAGAATTAAAAGTTGATTTCGTTTAACAACATTATTGTTTGTTGTTTGTTTTTGTGTTTTTAATTAAGTGGCAATTGAAAAGAATTGAGATTTGAAAACACAATTAAATATAAAAAGTAAATAAGAATGAGAAAAATTATTGTCTTAGTCTATGGTTAGTTACAGACGAGAAGTTCTTTGTCGCCAATGAACTGCAACTACTTGAAGAGATCAGAATAATTAGTTTCAAATAAATGGTTAATTACAAATCTTTTAGCTATAAAATTAATGTTAAAATTATAAATTCTTAAATTGACTACTCAGTTATATCATCGGTTATATTTTAAAGCTGCAACCTTTTTGCGCAAAAGTGTAACATTGAATGCGGCAAGTTGCCTAGAGGACTCTGGACTAAGTTCATTGATTGAAAAGTACTAAATAAATATACGCATTAATTTATTTGACATGAAAAACCTATTAATTCATGTTTGCCTTACTTTTCTTAACTGTTCGAATAATTTATCTGGGAATTCTACCAATTTAAAAATAACTTTCGAATATAATTAAGGACTACAAACATTTTTAGCAAGCGCTGGAAATTTTCTTTAAAGCATAAAGTTCCGAAGCATTTATAAATTCTGGGCTTCAAAACGCCTCATATTCCTGCAAAACTATTTCCTTTCTCAAAAAAACTTTCATAATTCTTGCAACATTGCACATTAATGTCACCAAACCGATTGCAGCATATTGCTTTTAAAAGCAGTACATACACTATTTTATAATACGTTGTTTACTTACAAAAATATACCGCAATCGAACCAGACTCTTCGATCAATTGAACCAGTCTCTCGCCTTCAAGATCTTCGATAACATCCCCGCTTGGGTCCTTTTGCGTTAGTAACCAAGCAAGAATTTGTTCTTCTTCATAAAGATCACCTGAAATTTAGAGCAGAAAAAGATTTATGTACCCAAATATAGATAGTACGTTTAATTTTTGCATAAACAGTAGGTGTTTCGATAAAACTCACATATGTACTTAGGATTCAGTCAAAAACAAAAAAGATTTTCACAATCAATTTTTGTTAACCGTCTTCAAAATATTTTCCAACAAAAATATTCTTAAATTCGTCCGACACCTATATTGTAATACAACATTTTCATTATCTAATTCGCTTAACGTAAGTTGAATTTGATTTTTTGAACAGGTGGCAACCCTCTTAAAAATATTAAATTAAATCCGACACCCATGTTTCATCATTTAAACAGGTGGCAACCCCCCCTGCCTGTAGTTTAGAAATTACGCCTTTTAAAAACCATTTAACAAGCTGCTAAGCATTTAATGATATGACCGCACTTCAACTAAATTAGGACTGTGCAGAGATAGTGTTCAACACTCTCCACTTCTTTCTCATCCTTGCAATTTCGGCAAAAATCATTGGATTGGAAATCTGTTATACCACCGTGAAGACATATAAAACAGGGTTCAGTGATATGTGAGGGATAGTTAGGGCACAGCAACTGTAAACGTTGAAATACGTTAGATTTTTAGACATTACGAGCTTTATCGTCGCATGGCGTGCAATACCGCGTATCAGGTGGCTAAGAAAATAATTATAACCCGAGCTTCTTAAGGGGCCCTAAATACCGGAACCATAACTTGTTATTATTATTTTTTTTTACAATGTAATTGCTCCTTCGTTATAGGCTTTTATTATAAATATATATTCCGATTAGTGCTGATTGTTTCTAACTCTATAAATTAAAGAAAATGATCGTATGGTCCAAAACACGAACATTTTGGCTCATAGTACTTTTTAAATACCGCTGAAACTCGCTAGAATACAACATTAGTATAGTTTTTCTTCTTGCATCTGAAATCATAAGAATGTGGCAATATTTAATATATACTTAAAATATCCTGTTGTTTACTAGTTACGAATGTTTAAATTACATTAAAATTTTTGGAAGTACTTTTTAAAGCTCCTTTGTATTATCGAAAAAGTCTGCTCTCCTTACACATACAATTAGGGGATTCACAAGACGTGTTAACCGTCGTAAAATCTTAAGGTTAACATCTTTTTTAATTAAAATGGTTTTAGGGGATTTCTAACTAAACCGAAATTCTTTTAAACTGATAAAGAATATATAATTAGCCAACCCCCCAACCATTTTAACCGCTATTTTACATAAACAAGTGTTAAGCTTAAGATTTTACGACGGTTAACACGTCTTGTGAATCCCCTAATTGTTTTCAAAAATTGGTACACAGTTTCTTAGCTTAAGGCCACCCTCAAGAACTACGTATTTATTGAATTCATAATTTAATTTCAAAGTTATTATTTACAGAAAAAGACTGTTCCGTTACCTGTGCGATATACATACGTGTAAATTATAATTAGGTTTTTAAATGACTTGTGGTCAGTTTTATGCAATAAGTGCCATGAATTTAGTAGGCTTGCGATGTATGAAATCCATAGAAATTAAAAACGTGATAATTATGAATACAGATTTGAAAGTGTCTGTTGCTGTGCAGCTATAGGTCGTTTCAGAAGCAATTTCCTGCGTAGAACTCGAGCACGAGCTTACAAATGCGCCAAGATATTGAGATTTTTCGCGGTTAAGTACACGAAAAACGGCTTTAGTGAACACTTTTATTTGCTCTATGCCATTTACTAATATTCTTATCCTTCAAACGCGCCTTCGAGTGATGCTTTACAATTTTTTCTTCAGAAACTATGGTCATTGGAAGATGACAAAACGAGTTAGAAAGCATATCGTCGTTTAAAGTACAAAACCGCGTATCAACAAAATGCAAAACCGCGTATGTAAGGTTGCATAAATTATTTTCTAGAGAGTAAAAACACTCATATTTCAAAATGGTTCTCTTTTTTTATAAAGAAATCGCATTTCTGGCTAGTATATTTCAGGATGAATGGATAAGGATTGAACCAAAACCTTGTGTGAGCAAATCCAATTTTTGGCAGCAAATGTCAGTTACGCGGGTTTGCAGAATGACGATACGCGGTTTTTTTACTTTAAACGACGATATGCTTGGTTTGGCGATGCTAGATTCGAGAACACGGCAGTTCAAGTGGCCGCAACTCTTGAAGAAAAAATCTTATAGCACCATTCGCAAGTGCATTTTGAAGCATAATAATAGTACTAAAAAATGCTTGAAATAATTTCAGTAGATTTTTGTTATTTAATCAGAAAATCTCATTATTTTAGCTTCTTATTGAGTTTTTTTCTGGACCTTTTTGAGTTAGAAAGAATATAAATTTTAGCTATGGGCCAATAGCACGATGAATAGCTTACAATGTTGCTTTCAAGATGAGCCCTATCTCTAATTTAATAAAAGTTAATTTTACCTGAAAATTCAATTAGTAAAAAAGACTCTTAAGTTACAAATAATTTTCCACTTAAAACAAATGGATAATGAAGAGCATAATAGGAAACTGATTTTTTTATTGTGAAACACGGCCGTCAATGCTCGAAGAAAACCAAATTTTTCCATTTTTTTCCCGGTAGATTCCGCGCCAAAAAACTTTTTGATATTTTAGACTGTTACATTACTTAAAAAAATGCTGCCGAGTCTATTTTCATTTAGATAGCCAATCACTGATTATTTTGTCGAATAGTTTTTGTATTAACTTCAAGGTAATACAAGGCAAGCGAAAAGAAGCAATTATTTGCCATATCTATCTTGATTCGTTTTGTGACGTGATGTGAACAAAGTTATAATACCCTTGTGCACAAGTGCGCTCGGGTATACAAACTTAAGTATTACCACAAAAAAAAAATTAAAAAAATATGAAATAAATGAAGTCCTAAAAATTAAATGAAATTTAAAATTAAATGAAACCACAAATTCTAAACAAAATAAAATAAGTCTCTAAAAATGAAATGAGTAAAAAAATATTTTTTTTACAAACAATGCATTCTAAAAATTAAAAACAGAAAAAAAAGGTTATTAAAAAAAAAAAATAAATTACGTTTTGACATTAAATGAAGTCAAACAATTGTTTCAAATAATTAAATCTTAAACAAAAAAAAAATATAATTAAAAAAAGAAAAATATAACTTTCTAAAAATTATATTGTAAAAAATGTTAACAAAAATTTATCAAAAAGTTATAACGTTGAGCATTATTATTTACCTGCAGTGTTTTTATTTCTAGCCCAGGGTGTAGCCATATTTAGCGCAGCTACTAGAATAATATGGATCTTGCAACCGTATGCACATACGGTTTTTTAAATCTATAACCTATCTGCAAGTGTTTAACACAGTGATGTCTTACTTAATAAATACTTAAACGCCCGTTCAAAGGGTGTTGCTTGAAATAGGGTGCCTTGTATATTCTAATTAAGATTACCATTCGGGTCTTGAAACCGTTATGACCGCATGACAACTACTTCGGAAAGGTTAAACAATACTCGATATGATTTACATAATAAAAGTGTACGGGTACGCTACTATATGACTTTTCAAAAATTTAAAAACTAAAAACTAAAAATCTTCAGTTGATCAACTTGGATCCTGCGGAAGCTGAGATTAGGCAGAAGCTAGAAAAAATGTGTAGTTAGACGCAGAACTAAGCTTTTCGTAAGGGCGCAGAAAGGCATGGTAGGCGAATATTACCACTTAATAGGCGTCAACTTCCTTAAATGGTCCGCTTAATATCCAAAAAAATACCCGAAGAAAAGGTTTTTATTTACATTGCATTACTTACCGGCGTAGATAACTGGTTCCTTCGATGTTGGCTTAAAGAACACAATTGCAGGTAGCGCGAAAACGCCAAACTCTTTTGCCATTTGCTTGTCATCGATCTTAACAAAATCGATACCCGCCTTATCCGCTTCATCGTCGATATGCTCCACTTCGGCAAGCACACGAGGACACTGCTTGCATTCGTCACTATCTACAATTTGGAAAATTTATGCTTGCTCTTGCAAAAATAAAATAAAATAAATAGCAAACCCATTGGCGCTTACAGAAAATCACAGCCAAGTAGTCGGAAGCTTTGCGTATTTTATCGAACATTTTACGATTCACTTTCTCAATGTGATCTGTCATTTCCATATTCGCCGGACTTGTAAGCCAATCCAGCACCTCTTCCTCATCATCAATATCGCCATCGTAGTTAATGTATTTGCCCTTGCGGAAATATGTTATGCCAGGTGGATTGCGGTAGCCATATTTCTTAGCCATCAACTTGTCATTCATTTTAACTATGTGTATGCCATATTCCAGCGCTTCATCATCGATCAGTTCGATGTGACGCAAGACGCGTGGCGCATCTGGATCGTCTTCTTTGTCTGCAAGGAAGTAAGGAACAGGAACAAAGAAATATGAAGTCGCATTTAAATTCGGTTGGTAAAAAAGTAAGAAATAGGAAACTAAATCGCATATGCATAGAAATGTATGAAATTTAATGTACATGGAACTCGAAATCTATTTAAGTTTAATGACTGCTAAGTAGGTGTTACTACATACATAAATAGTTTTTAATTATTTTTTTCATAATTATCAAGCAGTTACAGTTTTTAGTGAGCGAGCTAACTAGCTTAACTGAAATCGCTAATGAGCTCTAAACACGCTTTGCTCTATCTTACAGCTGTTGTTGATGTTGTTATTACCGCAAAAAAAAATATTAAAATTGTCACACTGGCTTACTTTGTTGTTGTTATTGGCTAGATTTTACTTACAAAAAATTACAGCCAGAAAATCTTTGGTGTTTATGTATTCGTTCAGTGTGTCCCGATCTATGAGCTGAATACTTTCATCGGCCTTCTGTTCCAATATCCATTTGAAGACAATTTGTGGATTCTCAATATTACCTATGGCGATTGGAATAAAGAGTTATAAAATCATGTTAGTTATAATCCCAAGCGATTATAGAAATAAAAATGGATAGATATCTATTACCTGTTTGTTGCTGTGTTGATCAATTCTAAAGAGCTTTTCATTCGTTAAAAAATATAGAATAAAGGATTACATGCCGCTGTTTGTATGTTCAGGGAATGGTTTAAAAAATCTCCTTTCTGTCAGAAAATTAAAAATCGTGTGAATCTTTATTGAAAGGTCTAACCAATTTAGTCGTCTCACAGTAAAGCGCTTTTAAATATCAGTGATACGAAATTATAATTTTTTAATCTATGGGCTAATTTAGTGCATGAACTAGTAACGCCAGTGGGCGAAGTGCGGAGCGCGGCTAAATAAACGATTTCAAGCAGTGCTCTTTTAATAAGACTCACTTTGGAAAGATATTCCAATTGCGCTGCAAATCAAAGGCAGACGAGTATAATAAATATGGACTATTAAAAATGTTTTTAATTTTTATGATACAAAAAAAAAAGGATTTGAAAGTAACAAAATACTACCCAAATAATATCGATAACTTCTAAGATTTTTTTTTTTGTTCAAAATATAGGCAGAATAAAAATCGTAACAAGACGAAAATTAGATCAGCGGAATTTTTCTAACTCAGTATATAACGATTCGTAGACTTTGGTTTTTATCATAAAAAATATTTTTTAATAAAAATAAAATTAAATTTTTTTTAGTTTTTTGGAAACATTAACATTAAATTATATACCATTAAAGGCAAGATTTTAAGTTTTTATGATAAAAAATTTATTGAAAATAACAAAATATTGCCCCAAGAAAATCGATAACTTCTATAAATATTTTTTTTTTCAAAATCGACAGAATAAAAATCATAACATAACGAAACTTAGATCTGCGAAGTTTTTCTTACCCAGCGTCTATATAGCCTCCGTAGAGATTTTGGTTTTTATTACCAAAACTATTTTTTAATAAAATATAAAATGTATTTTTTTTTTTGAAGATATAGTAACTTTAAAAATTATAAATTTCGATAATATCGAATTAATTTTAATTTTTCTGACAAAAAATTTTTAAAATTACAAACGATTTCCCTAGAATAGTAGTATATAACGATTCGTAGAGATTTTGGTTTGTATTATAAAAAACAACTTTTTTAATAAAAATAAAATTTAAAAATTTGGTTTTTTGCAGATATTATTAACATTAAAATAAATTCGCTAATATAATCTTTATTATTAAAGAAAATGTTTTTAGTTTTTATGGTAAAAATTTTATTTGAAAATAACAAAATACTACGGCACCCTGAAATTGTGCATATGGAAAGAGTGCATACGAAATAATGCATATGAGAAAATACCGAAATTATGCATATGCACTCTTTCGTTTGAAAACCGAAATAACGCATATGAGAAAAACGAAGTAATGCATACATGCACAGTTTCGGATGAAAACCGAAATAATGCATGCATGCACAGTTTCGGTTCAAAACCGAAATAATGCATGCATGCACAGTTTCGGTTCAAAACCGAAATAATGCATGCATGCACAGTTTCGGTTCAAAACCGAAATAATGCATGCATGCACAGTTTCGGTTCAAAACCGAAATAATGCATGCATGCACAGTTTCGGTTCAAAACCGAAATAATGCATGCATGCACAGTTTCGGTTCAAAACCGAAATAATGCATGCATGCACAGTTTCGGTTCAAAACCGAAATAATGCATGCATGCACAGTTTCGGTTCAAAACCGAAATAATGCATGCATGCACAGTTTCGGTTCAAAACCGAAATAATGCATGCATGCACAGTTTCGGTTCAAAACCGAAATAATGCATGCATGCACAGTTTCGGTTCAAAACCGAAATAATGCATGCATGCACAGTTTCGGTTCAAAACCGAAATAATGCATGCATGCACAGTTTCGGTTCAAAACCGAAATAATGCATGCATGCACAGTTTCGGTTCAAAACCGAAATAATGCATGCATGCACAGTTTCGGTTCAAAACCGAAATAATGCATGCATGCACAGTTTCGGTTCAAAACCGAAATAATGCATGCATGCACAGTTTCGGTTCAAAACCGAAATAATGCATGCATGCACAGTTTCGGTTCAAAACCGAAATAATGCATGCATGCACAGTTTCGGTTCAAAACCGAAATAATGCATGCATGCACAGTTTCGGTTCAAAACCGAAATAATGCATGCATGCACAGTTTCGGTTCAAAACCGAAATAATGCATGCATGCACAGTTTCGGTTCAAAACCGAAATAATGCATGCATGCACAGTTTCGGTTCAAAACCGAAATAATGCATGCATGCACAGTTTCGGTTCAAAACCGAAATAATGCATGCATGCACAGTTTCGGTTCAAAACCGAAATAATGCATGCATGCACAGTTTCGGTTCAAAACCGAAATAATGCATGCATGCACAGTTTCGGTTCAAAACCGAAATAATGCATGCATGCACAGTTTCGGTTCAAAACCGAAATAATGCATGCATGCACAGTTTCGGTTCAAAACCGAAATAATGCATGCATGCACAGTTTCGGTTCAAAACCGAAATAATGCATGCATGCACAGTTTCGGTTCAAAACCGAAATAATGCATGCATGCACAGTTTCGGTTCAAAACCGAAATAATGCATGCATGCACAGTTTCGGTTCAAAACCGAAATAATGCATGCATGCACAGTTTCGGTTCAAAACCGAAATAATGCATGCATGCACAGTTTCGGTTCAAAACCGAAATAATGCATGCATGCACAGTTTCGGTTCAAAACCGAAATAATGCATGCATGCACAGTTTCGGTTCAAAACCGAAATAATGCATGCATGCACAGTTTCGGTTCAAAACCGAAATAATGCATGCATGCACAGTTTCGGTTCAAAACCGAAATAATGCATGCATGCACAGTTTCGGTTCAAAACCGAAATAATGCATGCATGCACAGTTTCGGTTCAAAACCGAAATAATGCATGCATGCACAGTTTCGGTTCAAAACCGAAATAATGCATGCATGCACAGTTTCGGTTCAAAACCGAAATAATGCATGCATGCACAGTTTCGGTTCAAAACCGAAATAATGCATGCATGCACAGTTTCGGTTCAAAACCGAAATAATGCATGCATGCACAGTTTCGGTTCAAAACCGAAATAATGCATGCATGCACAGTTTCGGTTCAAAACCGAAATAATGCATGCATGCACAGTTTCGGTTCAAAACCGAAATAATGCATGCATGCACAGTTTCGGTTCAAAACCGAAATAATGCATGCATGCACAGTTTCGGTTCAAAACCGAAATAATGCATGCATGCACAGTTTCGGTTCAAAACCGAAATAATGCATGCATGCACAGTTTCGGTTCAAAACCGAAATAATGCATGCATGCACAGTTTCGGTTCAAAACCGAAATAATGCATGCATGCACAGTTTCGGTTCAAAACCGAAATAATGCATGCATGCACAGTTTCGGTTCAAAACCGAAATAATGCATGCATGCACAGTTTCGGTTCAAAACCGAAATAATGCATGCATGCACAGTTTCGGTTCAAAACCGAAATAATGCATGCATGCACAGTTTCGGTTCAAAACCGAAATAATGCATGCATGCACAGTTTCGGTTCAAAACCGAAATAATGCATGCATGCACAGTTTCGGTTCAAAACCGAAATAATGCATGCATGCACAGTTTCGGTTCAAAACCGAAATAATGCATGCATGCACAGTTTCGGTTCAAAACCGAAATAATGCATGCATGCACAGTTTCGGTTCAAAACCGAAATAATGCATGCATGCACAGTTTCGGTTCAAAACCGAAATAATGCATGCATGCACAGTTTCGGTTCAAAACCGAAATAATGCATGCATGCACAGTTTCGGTTCAAAACCGAAATAATGCATGCATGCACAGTTTCGGTTCAAAACCGAAATAATGCATGCATGCACAGTTTCGGTTCAAAACCGAAATAATGCATGCATGCACAGTTTCGGTTCAAAACCGAAATAATGCATGCATGCACAGTTTCGGTTCAAAACCGAAATAATGCATGCATGCACAGTTTCGGTTCAAAACCGAAATAATGCATGCATGCACAGTTTCGGTTCAAAACCGAAATAATGCATGCATGCACAGTTTCGGTTCAAAACCGAAATAATGCATGCATGCACAGTTTCGGTTCAAAACCGAAATAATGCATGCATGCACAGTTTCGGTTCAAAACCGAAATAATGCATGCATGCACAGTTTCGGTTCAAAACCGAAATAATGCATGCATGCACAGTTTCGGTTCAAAACCGAAATAATGCATGCATGCACAGTTTCGGTTCAAAACCGAAATAATGCATGCATGCACAGTTTCGGTTCAAAACCGAAATAATGCATGCATGCACAGTTTCGGTTCAAAACCGAAATAATGCATGCATGCACAGTTTCGGTTCAAAACCGAAATAATGCATGCATGCACAGTTTCGGTTCAAAACCGAAATAATGCATGCATGCACAGTTTCGGTTCAAAACCGAAATAATGCATGCATGCACAGTTTCGGTTCAAAACCGAAATAATGCATGCATGCACAGTTTCGGTTCAAAACCGAAATAATGCATGCATGCACAGTTTCGGTTCAAAACCGAAATAATGCATGCATGCACAGTTTCGGTTCAAAACCGAAATAATGCATGCATGCACAGTTTCGGTTCAAAACCGAAATAATGCATGCATGCACAGTTTCGGTTCAAAACCGAAATAATGCATGCATGCACAGTTTCGGTTCAAAACCGAAATAATGCATGCATGCACAGTTTCGGTTCAAAACCGAAATAATGCATGCATGCACAGTTTCGGTTCAAAACCGAAATAATGCATGCATGCACAGTTTCGGTTCAAAACCGAAATAATGCATGCATGCACAGTTTCGGTTCAAAACCGAAATAATGCATGCATGCACAGTTTCGGTTCAAAACCGAAATAATGCATGCATGCACAG